TTGTTTTATTATTGTTATTAGTTATTCATTGAAAAATGAGTCTCAGTCAATGAGTCTTTATTTGAATTCAAATTTTTTTTAATGACTTAGTATTTACTAGAAAGATGTAATTTTTTTTTAAAAAATTTTTTATATGGATTTGAATGATTATTTTGAATTCTTAGAATTTTGTGTATTTGCAATGTACCTAAGTAAGTAGCGAGCGAAGCGATCTTGGTTTGCGAAGCAAACCATATAACATTGCGTAGCAATTTTCGGGGGTTGGCGAGCGTTAGCGAGCAGGGGGCGCAGCTCACTAGTGTTACAATATTACTCTTCTAATCACTTTTTGAAGATAACAAAAAAGTCTTGAAAAACTGTTTGAAGTTTGTTAGAAATTATTACTTACCTGAACACCATATCGCGAAACCTTCGCTTGTAGAAATAAAACTCTCTTTTTTGGCAATTCAGCAATCCTTGAGCTGAATTTGTTTTTTTAGAGAATCATTTCGTTACGGAATCATGTGATTTGTGACAAACTCTTAAATATATGACAAAAATGTTTCCTCAACTCGAAACCTCAACGTAGTGCATTGTGGGAGATGATTAACTAGAATGACTAAACTAGGATGAAGCCTAGACTATCGAAATTAAAGTGACGAAATAAGATAAATGCTGTTTGGTGGTTAGGGAGATGGACTTATACCGGGGGGATCCAGGGTTCGAATCCTGCTTCGGGTATGAATGTAATTTATCTCACTGTTCTATCTGTCTCTCTTGTGTTATTTGGGGGACACTGATTTGCCAACAACGCGCTCACGATAAAGGGATTATTATTAGGAAAGTTAGATACATTAATCACTACGAGGTTGTTGTTTTTTGGGGATGGGGAATAAAATAGAATGATGAAATATTTTTTTTTAGTTTTGACGAAATTAGTTTCCTTCAAGAAATGATGATAGTTATTTCGCCTCTTTAACTAAATTTTTGCTCGGAGCACATACCAGAAAATGGTTTTATTAAAAACGTAGAAAGTTTCATGATATTTGAGTAGCTATTTTTTACAGTGATTGAAAGAAGAAGATGCACATGTGGTCTTTTTCAAAATGCATGGTAAGTGATTTTTTCTTTTCCAAAATTGAGATATGGTAAAAAAGGATACTCCCCCATGTGTATCTGGTAAATTGGAAAACGTGATTGTTAAAAAGATTTGGAGCTAAATATACAAACAAATTACTCTTCACTCCAAATTGAGCATAGGACTTCTATCGTAGCTCTCTATCTAACTCTTTTGTGACCAGATATTTTATCACAGATATTTTATCCAGATATTTTATCTCTTTCCTATTGTAACTTACAATCGTCCTGATCCAAGTACTTTTAGGTCTTCCTCTTTTTCTATTGCCTAGAGGGTTCCAATCAAAAACTTTTTTTTACTTTAAATCTTTGAGCTAAAAGATACAAAAAATCGTTTCTGAAAGTAACTAAGATAATTGTACTTGAACATGCTTCAAAATTTTCTTATGAATCATTATTTATTTAAAAAATAATGATGGCACCTGAGTAACTTAAAAGAGGTTTAAAAATTGAAAAAAAAAATACCTGAATGCTTTTCAAAATAAAATAAAGTATTTAAGAGCCATGTTTTTCAAATGCTTTTCAAAAATAGAAGATAATTATATTTTCCCACACTTAATACGAAAAACATAATGATAAAAAATATTTTGGTAATGATAAAATTTAATTGCAATAGTGATACAACTCATCTAAAACAATTTTATTTTCATTATAGCTGTTAAAAATGTTCAAAATTAGATCGATGAAAGCATCAAGAAAAACAAGATAAGTGAAAATTTTCGGAAGCACCGAATTATGCGAAAATAAAAATCATTTATTAATACTATCAAGAATATTAAACTTAGATTTAACATAATTTAAGAATGCCAGTATACAGATGCGAGTTACCAAATTTAATTTTAATTCTGAAATGCTACCTAATAGTAATTGCTCTCCCCTCAAAATTTTGATATCTAATACTCAAACTTGATTTCCTCATTAACTTGACAATGTCAACTTCCTCGTTTTTTTCGTGAAAACTTCAAAAGTTTAAGGGATGTATCACACTGTTAATAAACTCTTTAAAATGGAGGAAAAATCATTTTAGCACTTTTTCTATCCTCCTTCCTCCACCCTATAACCATAGATAAATTTCTGAATATTATTTGCTGGAATTTAATAAAATGTAAAATAATTGAAATATTAGGTTGGCAAAAAGTAATTTTGGTTTTTAGTGTTACAGAAAATTCTTTCATTTTCTATGCAAAAATGAGCTTTTAATCAGTCAACTATCTTCTATTTTGTTTGATGACCTTTCGGTCTGGTAACTTCGTGATCCCGCACTCATAGAACTTCTGATCCTTATCAGCGAAAATTTCAACCAAGTGCAATTTGAGATCATTGTTATTACTCAACTTCTTACTAAAAAGTTTTATTGATTTTGAAATAAATGATATATGGAGTTGAACATTAGTAGATGTAAACCTAAAATTGGGTCAGCTGTTCAACGACGGTTATAAAACCCTTTTGTGCAAGGTCGAGGCTATATGGAGGATTGTAAATAGCAAAAGAATCGTGTTCCACTGCTGAAATGCAAGAACTCATGCATCTTTAGCAACACATACAAAATTATTGGAACTTGGTTGGGAAGTGATGCTGCATCCTCCATACACCTCCGATTTGGCACCATTGGATTATCATGTTTTTGGAAGCTTATAAAATGCTTTAAATGGAAAAAATTTTGGTAATAATGATGACTTTAAATCGCAATTGGTTGATATATTTTTGGATAAGGACTACTCTCTGTTGCAAGTTTAAAAAAAAAACTATGATTCCAATGAAGAGACCCTGTTTGCAACTAAGTGCGCGCGAAATGGATGCCAAGCTCCCAGCGTGAACGTATATCAACATCGCCAACAACATTATCGCTGCACAGTCTTTTTGCTTGCTTTCTTAAATCGCGTGAAATGAGGAAAACAAAACTTATTGAATAAAAACTATTGTTTTTTTCTTTGTTTCCCGCAAAAGTAGGAAGTTGCATCATATTTAAATGAAACTTTCTGTTCGCATTCAAAGAAAAACGTACGAAAGAATAATAATAAATATTGTTTTTTGCAGACTATTTTCTTTTACAGCGAAACAAAAGTAAAATTCATTATCTCGCATATGATCTGTTAAGGGTATGCTAGCATAATACGCATCATTTTTATGCCAACATAAAACGTACCATATGACATAACATAAAACGTACGTTATGATCTGATAATAAAATAAAACAGAACTATGCGAGGCCGCCAATGATTACTTAAATCCTATACCACAATGGCCTTTTCTTAACTTGCAACAGAGTATCGTAGTTCTACCACGCACTTACAAAAAGTTAAGATGTTTCTGAGGTTTATTTGAGGATTTTTTGAAGTTATTAGGTAGCTTTGATGTTTATTTGAAGTTGAATTTAAAACTTTTAAAAATCAATATGTATAATGGGTGTATAATCAAGGTGTATGAAGCTGTTTTATTCGCTCTTGAGGTTTATAGAAATCTACCTTAGTGCCACCAGCTGAGAGTGGTACTTTTTGAGGTGTTCAGGTTATTTTGTATACTCTTCAAGCAAATAAGTATAATTGAAGTTTGAATCATTTTACCGAATTTCGATATATTGCTGTGCTACATATGAGGTTGATTTTTATGAGGTGTAAATGAGGTTAAAATTAAGGTTTATTGATGAGGTTGTTTTTGGTGCAAAACATAGCCTCATTAGTAAATCTCCATGTGCAATTTCTCATGTGTAATACCTCATGTAACACCTCATGTGTAATTTCTAAATGTTAGCCAACCTCAAAACTTCCTTTATTTTTTGAATCGTTGAGAAAAGATTTTTGCGAAGAAAAGAATTCTTTCTATTCTATGTTTATGANAATTCTGAATTTATGACTATTCAACTCCATAACCTTGCAATTTTGAACTTAATAAGAAGACAAAGAAACTCTTAGATCAAGCAATGAGACAAACTAGCTGACGTGGAGGACGTTTCGCTGGAACTACGTTACATTGAGAGGAAAATCAGGAAAACCCCTAGCCCCACGGCAATGGAATTCTAACTCACTATCAATCCACTGAGGATATCTTACCACTGATGATATTTTACTTCAGCACTGCGGTTAGTGCGAGTGAGGGGCAGAATGCGAATCAATCAGCCACCGTTGGGAATAGAACCTGGGTTACCTCTCTTGGAGGTGAATTCTGTATCCCTTGGGCCACCGCGACTCATGAAGATATTAATATAATTCTTTGGATCCCAATTAATCAATTTATTGTGTTTTAATATTTTTTTTTCATTCATAATTTTTAAATGAACTAAGAAATGCATTTTACTTTAATAAAATCGAAATGTGTTTGAAACTTGTTTATTATTTATTAGCATTTTTATAATTTTACATTACAACTTAAACTTTTACTTACTTTACCAAGTTATTGCTTTCTATGATTGATTACATTTTTTATAAAAGAAAATTTTTATCATTTTTTACGACCAAAAAGTAATACATTTAAAAATAAATGTTTGTTCTTAAGATTATAAATTTTGAGAGAAAGATTAGAGCAACGTGTAATTTTGTTTTCGCAAAAGAAATCAATTATCTGTCAATCTCCAACAAAAGCTTTATTGATTACAAGAATATGATCTATTAGATAATAATATTCCAAATTTTTTACTAATATTAAGATCTACCGTGTCTTTTCATTTGTACATACCACATGTTTTTGCATTGTTCTGTCAAGAAAATGAAACGCATACAACGTTTCAAGTCTGCATGGCAATGCGTTAGTCATCTGTTACAGTTAATGCAACGTAGCTGTAGCACTATATAACAATGTCAGTTAGAAAACGTCATCAGTTTTATTCAAGAGTGTTCTATATGGTTCTAAACCTACACTGCTAAATTTGCAAAGAAAATTCCTTTTTACTAAGGTAAGTTACATTTTTTGAAATTAAACTATGATTCGAGGCAAGAAATTCGGAATAGTTCTAAAAATTCTGCTTAACTGATGTGTAGCAGTGAATCATTTTTTCAGTTTAAAATTGAATTTATATATAAATTTAATATTTTAAAGCAAGACAACTTTTAGACTATGCCTATTCGTGTAAGTAATGGGGTGGAATTTGTCGAGTTAAAAAATATAAGAAAAAAAACCTTCATTTTATTTGTGTTTATAAATACGGCGGATATTTTTATGAACGTTTTACGTTATGGCGAATTTACGTTGATGACGAATATAGGATATCTTTATACTGTAAGTGTATACAGTTACCTCAAGAAACATTTGTTGATATTTTGTCAATTTTAATTTCTTGATAATGATAAAAAAAATTTAGAAAATATATAAAAATTCAAAATGGTTGCTTTAAATTCCATATTCTTATTTTTAGATAGGATGATTGAGTGGAAAGTGAGCAATTTCTCAAAAAAATTATAAAATAAAAACACTCAGTGAATCTGCCTTAATAATGCAATGTACGTTTATTTTGAATTTAAATAAAGGGAAGTTTACTGATGTATTAATCAACAAATATATAAATGCATTTCTGAAGGTCTAAATTGAGCCCATATCATCCACACTATAGGCTAGATGAGCTCCCACATAATTTCTCACATAAACAGAAAATTATGCTCTTACGACCGTAGACCCCTGCACATCATTCTTGGCAGCTAAGTTTGGCACTCAGCTGAATATCTTTACTTGATTGTACTTTTTTACTGTAAATTTACTTGTACTGTAGTATTGTAGATTTACTGATTGTTCTGTAGATTTATTTGATTACTTGATTGCGGTAATTTAAGCCTGTTTAGGACGAATTTGAAGACTAATAAAGATCAAAGTCTTCTTGGCCTTATAAGAATGAATATTAAGTATCACTTTCATTCATATTAAAACGATTAAAAGCTTGTTTACCAAATTTTCCTTGTTTCAGGTGAAAACAAGTTTCCACTAGTTACCCTTTCATGCTAAAAGCTCTTTGCAAGTGCTGATTTTTTTTTCAGTTAAGAAGGGAGTCAGGGGGCAAAAAAAAACAACAAAAAAAACATAGAAACACAATCGTAAACAAAATTTTTTTGAAGAAAATTTGTGGAACCTGCAGTTGCCGTTTAGTTGTTAATTTTGAAGTAACCCACATTTTTTGTATTTTACATTTTTATCAATAATGACTCAATTTCCTTCTCCTGGTAGCCGATGCTTTTATTTTAACCATAGATAACTAAACTTAAATCAGTATGTAACTAATCATTCGACTAATAGATTACGAATTAAAAACAAATATATTTTTATATTACAATAATTTTTTCCAGACAAATTATCATAACTTTTAAAAAAAGTCTCATAATATTTCAACTGGAAACTATAATATAATTAAGGAAAGCGGAGTAATTTTGCTGTTTAATTAGATCACGAATTACACAAGTATTGTACCAAATTTACATTTAACAGAAAACATTAAACATTAAGAAAAATTTAGAGCAGGGTACCGTAGGACATATATTGTCTCACAGCTCGCGTTGATCTGTCTTTTTTGGCTCATCAAGGGGAGCTCTAGGTGTGTTCTAAGGAAGTTCATCTGTTCCAAAACTAGAAGTATGGTAAAAATTATTGTTTGCACTATTGACAGATGTTAAAAGTGTGCCACAAATAGCCCTGTTGCAGTAGTTGCATATGCATTTTGTCGATCTGTGTTTCTTAGATGGTCAGAATAAAAATTATTAAAAATAACATTATTTATTAGCAGGAGCTATTTACTTATTAGCTATTTATTAGCAGGAAAAATTCAAAAAACGCACAGAGTGGTCGATTACAGTATTGGCTCAAACTTCTGCATGTTATAACTAAATATTCGACTATTAGACGACGATTACATCAAACCTCGAAAAGTAACATGTGTACAACCGTTCTTACCACTTTCAGAAAACTTCTTTCACTGTTTATAAAGATACTGCGAGTGAGTATAACACTATAAACTAATATAATCATTAGAAAATACTATAAACTAATATACTATAAACTAACACTATAAACTACTATAATCACTAAAAAAATTATATTTTTAGTTTTAAAATATAAGGACAGTTATTCAACTGTCATGAAATGTGCTTATTTCTGTTACTCCATTTGTCTCTTATCATTTCATTCTGCACAAGATATCTTAGTTCATGCTCTCAAAATGGTAATTATCATCTCTTAAAATCTATCTTTAAATTATGTTATACAAAAAATAGGGGAAATTAATTTTACAATTTAAAATTTTGTAAAAAATTAATACAATGATAAATTTTGGTGTCAATAAAATTACTATTCAGTAGAACTCAGGTTTTACGTTATCCCACTTCCTATGTCATTTTCTGCTGGTCCGTTAAAATTGCCCATACGGATGATGTTAAATTATTCCCGATTTTACGTTACCCTTTTAAAGAAAATCCCGCTTTATACGTTTTTTCTAACAGATCACAATCATATTTTCTCGACAAAGATTGAACAAAGATTCAACAAGGATTGAATTAATTTCACAATTTAAAATTTTGTAAAAAATATAAATACAATGATAAATTTTAGTGTCAATAAAATTATTATACAGTAGAACCCAGGTTTTACGTTATCCCACTTCCTATGTCATTTTCTGCTGGTCCGTTAAAATTGCCTAGAATGATGTTAAATTATTCCCGATTTTACGCTACCCTTTTAAAGAAAATCCCGCCTAATACGTTTCCTCTAGCAGATCAAAATCATATTTTCTCGACAAAGATTGAACAAAGATTCAACAAGGATTAAATTAATTTCACAATTTAAAATTTTGTAAAAAAATAAGAACAATGATAAATTTTAGTGTCAATAAAATTATTATGCAGTCGAACCCAAGTTTTACGCTATCCCACTTCCTATGTCATTTTCTGCTGGTCCGAATTGCCTATACGGATGATGTTAAATTATTCCCGATTTTACGTTACCCTTTTAAAGAAAATCTCGCCTAATACGTTTTTTCCAGCTGATCAAAATCATATTTTCTCAAAAAAGATTGAGCTAACTTTTTCCGAGTTCTAAAAAAGATAGAAAGATTTGTTTAATAGCTGTTTCGACGTTCTTTCTATTTAATCTTATTGTTCTTAAGTCTGTAAGAGGCGAATTCCTCCTTGAGTGAAAAAAATTTTTTGTCAGTCTAAGGACACATTCTTTTACAACAGCTATAGAGACATTTCGAAATGAAGAATAATTTTATATATATATAAACAACATTTTTAGTCATTTATCTTTTTCATGTGTTTCTCAAATCAATATTTAGAGTTGATATAGATTTCATACTTTTCTGGTAGAAATATTGTTGTTTAAAGTACAAAAAACAATTTTTTACACCATTGTGACTGCACGTGTGGGGAAATTCAAATGATGTCCAAATAAATACGGAATCATATGTAATCAGTCTAAATACTGCAGGAATGAAGAATTTCCAAAATTTCTTTTCGCCACCACTTTGTCGATGATATTCGCCGCTAGGTCCGTGTTGCTTGCTTTTACGTACATTGTGGTCTCCTCTCGTGTCAGACGAATTAGACTCCTAATGATATGCCATGCAGCAAAGGAGAAAACATAGAACATTTATCACCTGTATTAAATAACTTTAAAAATTTCCTCTCTTCATCAGTAGGAGGATTGTTTATGTTCAATTTATACTTCATTAAATACAAATTAATTAAATTGAACCCGTCTTTTTAAAGAACCCAGTATGCGAAACAGAACACTGTTTACTTCCCAATTTAGAGATACTGTTTTAAACACATTAAGATTTAGTGGAAGAACACATTGAAACGTTTCTACAAAAAATATTTGGCAAGTAATTTCGAAGCTAACAATTTCATTTAACTTATATTTGCAGTGTATCATTAGTATAATCATTATTTGTTCTTTATATATTGTTATTAGATAGAAAAATGAAGACTTGTATAGTTTTTTTGAGTATCATCGGCCTTGTATTGTGTGCAATCGATCCGGAAGCTCTTGATGAATCAGATTGTGAGGCAGACTTCCCTGAAGCTGATTTTAACGAAAAGGATGTAGTTTGCCAAAAATGCTTTGACTTATACGAAGAAAATAAAGCGACTATGCGATCGTCGTGCAGGTAAGATTCACATATCTTTAATAAAGGCAACTAGAATAAATTTACTGAGTTTTGCCTTAAATTAGGAAGCGATTGTTTTAAAAAGGCACTTTTAAAAACATTCTAACTTTTTTAAAGAAAAGACTAAAAACTGAAATTTGAAAGATTAACTGAGGAAATACTTATTGAGATAGAAATGAACGGTTTGGAGTTTTCTGCACATGAAACTAGATATACACCAAAGAGCCATTACATTATGACCACCCTACTAATAACATGTAGGACCACCTTTAGCCCTCAAAACTGCTAGCACCCGCCGTGGCATTGATTCCACAAGGTGCTGATAAATAGTCTGAGGTATCTGGTAACAAGCGCTCACCAACTGGTCCTGCGATTCCCTCATATTGAGAGGGGGTAGCGTGGCAGCACGAATTTGGTTTTCCAAGTAGGACCACAAATGCTCTATTAGATTAAGGTCAGGTGAATTTGGGGGCCAATACATGACTCGAAAGTCACTGGAATGTTCCTCGCACTAATCCATGACGATTCGACCCTTATGACATGGTGCATTATCCTGTTGGTAAACACCATCCCCCAGCAGGAAAAACTGTTGCCATGAATGGGTGAACCTGGTCTGCAACTATGTTCAAGTAGCTTACAGACGTCAGGGATTGTTCTATGAGGACTATGGGTCCTAACATGCCCCTTGAAAACATTGTTCCTCGGCGAGAAACCATAAAAATCTGGGCGAGCCCATTGTTATAGATGGAGGGTGGGGTGGTCATAATGTAATGGCTCTTCGGTGTGTTATTCTCCTCAAGTTTCAAAAGCATTTTCGAAATTGTTCAAGTGATGGCGTAAATGATTAGGAAAACTAAACTATGGTATATTTTTTAGGCGGCATGTCAGACCATTCAAACTGAAATAGTTACATAAGCGTCTGTTAATTCTGTCATCAAACTGCGATACTCCTTGTTGATGTAAATGATTGTTTTGAAAACATTTTTTAATAGATTTTTCTAGTGATATCTATAGTCGAACTCTGTGGCTGATTTTGGAGATTAATGAGACAAGAAAATATAGTCGGTTCCCAGAACTAAAAGCAGCACATCGTACTATTTTGCATGCTTCCATTTTTCTTTAATTAATTTTCAACTCGTTCATCCTCATCCGGAAAAAAATCAATGTTTTCCGAAAAAATCCAGATTCATTGGTAAAGTGTTGACCAAACACTCCATAATAAAACTTTCTAACTCATGTGATGCATAGCTAGGTAGGAATTTTGAAAACAAAAATAAAGTAAGAAAATAAAAAATGGATAATAATAAAAATAGGTAATAGTTAGAACTATTTATACTTTTAAATTCCAGGGGGAAATTAAAAAATAATTTAGTTACAGTGCAATTTGATAAAATTTAACAGGATGCAATACAAAACAGCTATTTAAAAAATATAAGTAAGTTAAACAGATTTTAAGTTTAAAGCACAGTTTTGTGATACGGGGTGTTCGTAATGACTTTATATGACCTTCTGTAATGACCTTATTATATTTTTATAATCTTTGTCAAAAATGAAGTTTAGAAAAAACATGTTATATTTACAAATACACATTGATAGTATTAGGTTACTCAAACGAGGAAGAGACAAAAACGTTATCGGAATTTAAGGAATATCCATTGAGGAAAGCAATGTAGAAAACATCGAAACCTGTTTGATTGCCGAAGGAAACAGAGGGAGAGATTAAACTTTCTTCCTGCTTCATTAGAAAAATCAAGCTGATTTTGATATTTCTTATCCCAACTTCCTCACTAGTGATTTGAAAAAATTTCCATAACGTTTTTATTTCTTCTATAGTTAGTTTCAATTAGTGTCCTCCTATACTTTCTTGACTTCGTTACCTACGGCGATATGATTAATAACTAAAAATAATAATACAGGAGGACCATAATTATTGTAAAAGTATTTTAAGCTCAATAACCAGAAAATTTCAAAACCTAATTCGATTAATTAACTATTTAAACCTAAGTAATTTGATTTCAAAAAGAAAAAAATATATAGTTCAATTTTACCCCACCATGGCATAAAACAAAACTGTAAGAAAAATTTCGGGGTAAAATAAGAATTTCAAGAACAGAAAATTGACATTTTGCATGCATTTTGATATTTACATTCACAATAACATTTTACACTTGGTTTTTAATTATGTCTAGCTTTAGCATTACTATGGTTGTATGGAGATTTTAACGTAGGTACGAGATTATTTCTAGTTTGCCCACTTTCAATTAAGTACTTGCTTACTTTTCACTTGCAAGCATTGAGTTTCTCAGTGATCTTGAGCAAACTTTAAATAACCCCTTTTCTATCTGGAAATACGCTTGCAACATGTTACTGCTAAGGGTGGAAATGACTGCAAAAGTGTTTTATAAATTGTAAGTGGTACTCTATTTACGCACACACTATAGTTGCACTTCGGACCATTGGTGACAGTCTACGAAACATCCATGAGGATGATCTGGAGACAATATACATACGTCAGATCCCGTTTTACAAGGAGGTCACATCCACACACTATCTATCCATCCACAGATCATAATTTTGACCTGAACCAGAACACGATCAATCTCCGACCCATAACTCCCAGAGGTTATGTTATGGTATCTTGGACGACTTTGTGACCCCGACACATTCAGCGGGCACCAGTCACTATTTTACTTTTGGCCGGCGGGGATGGAACTCTCGACCACTCGGATAAGGGCTCAATGCCCTACCAGCCAGGATATCCTAACCCAGAATTGCAAGTGCAAAGCGTTATTATGAATGTGTATATGCAACTACTGTATTAAAATGCTCGTCCTGTACAGGCTATGCTTATTTTTCTCTAAAATGTCCGTAATTAAATTTCAATTATCTAGATAATATTTATAGTAAATTTGGTGGAGTATGGGTGAAGTATTTAGACTATAAACACGTTTTCTTCAGAATGGTCAACTGTGGGGTTAGGCTACCGACAATGTCAACCTTCATCTATCTAAAGGTACCTCCAGATAGAATCGAGTTAACATATCACTGTGAGTTGGAATTTAATAGTTGTAGCAGTAGCTAAATCACATAACTCCTCCACCAGAATTTTATCTACGATAGAATTCAATGAATGGATACCACAAGTTGATTTCTTGCTGTTTTGAGAGAGGCCGGTAGAGCTGTATTAAGATTTCCGGGCTTTAAGTGCTAGTCGTGAGGGCTGTATAGAGATTACAGTTGTTTGTGTAGTCGATTTTGTGTAGCTTTCGACAGTCGAGTATGTGCAGGGACCGTCGTGTGGGATAGAGATTGAGTAGTAACTGCACGTGAAGGACGATGCAGCAGTCATAAATAGTAAGTCAAGTATTCACTGTGTTCCAACCATTGAACGAGGCTTGTTCATATCGAGGTGGACGTATTCAGTTCACGGCCGAATGTCTTTTGTGCGTGACTATGCTACCGACAATGTGAACCGTCATCAATCTAAAGGTACCTCCAGATCGAACCGAGTTAACACGTCTTAAATACTTGTGAGTTGAAATTTAATAGTTGTAGTGGTAGTTACGCTATATGCCTTATACATTTTCTTAAAAGTTTTCAACCAACGCTTAAACTACCATTTCTTTTAGTTTTCGTATGTCATTTGATAATTAAAAAAAATAATTTTTTTTATTATTTTATTTATCTGTAGATCACAGTGTTTCAAGTCTGAATTCTATGACTCTTGCAAGAGAGCTGCTGAATATTTTTTCTAATGGAGAACATTGATAACACTAATATTTGTAATTATAACTAAATACATGCTTACGTTATGTACGCTATTACACTATGATAAATATTTCAACAAAACATTGTTTCTATTTATTAGTTTTCAGTATTACTTTGTAATATATTTTAATAATCAAACCTTCATAGCATTTAAATATTTCTGAATAAAAATGCATTTTTATCGAACTAGCTGCAATCTTTAAAATATAGAACCCAAATTCCTAATAACTTAATCCTTAAAGCATTTGAAAATGTCAACTCTTAATAACTCAATAAATTATAAATGAAAAAAAAAAAAAATCCCACCAGATTGACACTTGTCATTCGGGTATCACTTGGGCAGACCTGTCAGTCACTCTTTCAGGGGAACCATATTAGGTCGGTCAACGTTGCCCCACAGTAAGAACAGATAGTAAAGAACACCCCTGCCTTGTTCGTGTTTCGAACCCAGGACCTTTCGGATGAGAGATCAGCTTCTTGACCACTACATAGTCCGGTTGGCAAAATGAAATAATTAAAATCATTTGAATAAGTAATCACTATTACTTATTTATTTATCCATAAAAAATTATTTTTAGGCAACGAGTTCTATAAATGAATGCAAAACTAATTTATTTCGCTAATTTATAAGATATCGAATAAAAACACAAAAACAAAAATTGTTCAATTAAGGAGTCTAAACTTTTTCCCACTCTCAAACTAAACTGTTGAAACTATGTTTTCATGATTGCAGATATCACAAAAAGAATGAGGTGTGTCAAAAATCTGGATTAACTGAAAAAGAAGTTTGCTTATTCGAAGAAAACATGCTTTTGAATCTAATTTCGTAACTTAATCCATAAGTAATAATAATTTACTTATGTAGCACTAACAAATAAGTTTATTAAAAGTTAAGCTTACCCTTCAAATCATTAGAATTGAATCTGAATGCGTAAAATAAGAATGAAAAATAAGCCTTTTTTAGAATTCAACTTAACAGAAACTGTTCAACCGACTTCGCTCAAATTGAACATTTTGTCATATTAAATTACCCCTTATAAAATGATGTAAAAATGTTTTTACCTTACAATTTCAAATTTTTTCGACTACTTATTTAATAAAATATTAAAAAGTAATAAATATTTACTATAAGTTACATTATGCACAGAATTATCTTCAAACAAAAGAATTTTATAATTGTATGCAAAAAAAAATTTATTGCAGAAAAAATTTGATTATAAGATATTGCGGAATACGCAAAAAGTAAAGCTAACATTAAGAGATCCAAACTTTTGACGGCTCTCCTGAACAACTACTGGGACCGAATTTCCCAAATAGTTCTTAGTCCCCATATTTTGAGAGTATGCAATCCAGATCTGAATTTATAAAAAAATTATTATTTTAGTACGTTCTTGTATCGAATTTCGCAACTTAAAATATCGCCCATACTAATTAATTATCATACTTGACTTGCCACTTCCTTAAACCATTAAGATTGAGTCCTAGTGTGTTAAGATCCGATGACTAGATAAAAAGTTATTAAGGATGCTCCGTTATTTTTCCGTACTGTACATATTTAACAATAAGTGATGATAATAATGAGAAGCTGTCGGGATTGAGAAAAAAAAGAAAAGTAGTTCTCTTTTCAGTATCGGCTGCTTTTCTGTGTGGCATAAGTTTTTATTTCCCTAAGAGAAATTCGAGCATAATTGAAGACTTGTAAGAAATCTTCGAAAATTTCATCACATGAATCGGTATTATATTTGAAGAACTTTAGTGAACCTCAGTCCCTGGTCTAATTATTAGACGCACTTTAAGATTCTGCCGCATCTTTTCTTACGTTTCGGGCTCAATTCGTCCCCTGACTCAATTTTTTTTCCTATTGCGTCGTAAGCTAGTTTGAGATACCTTCAATCTTCGTGACATTTCGCGGTAAGAAAATATTTCAGCATTCACGAGGGCTTTTACTTACAGTTTCTTTAAATGGTGAAAGATCTCCTTTTTTACCCATTCTAAAAAGTTTCCAATTGATTATTTAAATACTGCACACAAAATAAGCAAATAACTTCGTTGTATAAAACTGAGAAACAAATAAACACAGCGCATGAAGCCACAGAAACACGTCCACAAGTAAAGCCTGTTTGCACTTCTTTACGTTCGTGTATCAATTGGTTAACAATTTAACGCAATGCGTTAAAAACCAATACAAATAGGAAATATATAAAAACCCATTACGCGTATGTTTAAAGATGAAAGTATTGTACATAAACTCGTGCAAAACATATAATTATTAAAAAACTACAGTGCGTCTAATAATTTAGCCAGCGACTGTAGTTTAAAACTGTCATTACTAGTTTTGGTGACGTTCAATATTGGCAAAGACTTTGTATGGAAAATAATATTACAAAAAAAATACTGCCATTTAAAATTTTTCAGACTACTATAGGAAAAAAAGAAGTTTTCTTTGCCTTCACCCCCTACCTTCTATCCCTTAAACAGCACCACAATTTAGAATGCGAAATTCAAAAGTTTTACTAACATCAGACCAGTTAACTACTCATTCAAAAATAAGTTTAATGTGATGAAGTATTTGTTGCCACTGCATGTGTCTAGAAATTGCTTTATTGACAGAAATACAACTTTTTTTTATTCTAAAATTTTAATCACTTAGAGATTTAGACTTCAACCTTGTTAAGATAACTGCAGACAACGCAAGGAACAACTTTGTCACCATCGCAATTCTCGCAATTCATCCAAACGGGATTTAACTTAGCAACTGAATTTCCTCCTTCATTCACTGCAGAGGTAGAGTAAATTTCTTTATTCAGGCATATAAAATCAGCATCAACATTGGATCCACTATCAGCCATTGTCAAACCAGCATACTCTTTCCTCCAATTCTTAGGGCAAGATGTTTGAGCATAGAATGTTTTAATCCCGATGATCTCAGTAAGCAAGCAAGCTGCGCATGGAATAGGTCCAGATTTATCAGGCTCTATGAGAGTACGATACTCTACTGAGTCGATTAGAGCAGGTTTTGGCTGCATGGCTAGAGGATTGGATAAAGCAGGTGTAGATTGTGGTAAACACTTGTAATCTCTGCCTCCTGCCCAAGCTTTGGTGAGAGGACCGGAAGCTTGGCCTGAGTACAAAAGTTCTACTTTCTGCCCGTTCGATGAATCGCAAGTTTTTTGTCCCCAATTTATGTAAACAGATCCACTTCCGTCTGGTTTCTCCCAAACTGTAATGTCAAAAAAATAGCATGAAAAAGAGACGCACACCTAAATAAATTGAAATGGAAACAATATTGGTGTTAACAACAACAACAACAAAAATGACAAAATATTAATTCTGCAAAAAAAAAATCTTTCAGGAGTTATTAAAGGAATTATATCACGAAGTTTATATTGCTAGTTTCTTCCTTCATTGATAATTCAGTAACTGATTAGTTAACAAGTGTGATAAATATGAAGAAAAAAAATTAAAAATCATTAATAGAGAAGCAGAAGCAAACAGTAACGTACTATTTGGGGCGCACATTTAGAACAGCAGAAATTATATTCTTGCCAAGGTTTGAAATTACTTATAATGTTCGTCAACAAATGGCGTCGCTAATTAGAAAGAAAATACTAAACCATATATTTTCTACAATATTTTTTAAATTATTTGAGCTAAAATATTTTCACATGAATCTGTTAGTTTCGTTATCATACGTCTTTTCTGCATTTGGTAATTATTTTGAAAAAAAATTTCTCAGTTAGCAACGCCGCACCAAACTTTGCAACTATGGAGAATAAGGCTCCACAATTTCTAGACCAACTACAAGATGGTGTCAATGTTATAAGATTGCACATTGTCGGCTTTTACTTATAAGGATGACACAGACTTCTGCCCCATTCCTTCAGGAAAGCCCTCATTACTGACTTTGATTGTTCCAGAATCTTAACATCAACAATTACAAGATTAAGAACAGACCACTTTAAAGGGATGAAAATTCTTCCCGACAAAATAAGAACTTATATTCCCTGCAAGAACTGCACCCATATCCAACTTACCCCGGATCACATTCTCGAGTGCCCAGCCCTTACCCCATATGTTTTACAACTGGGTATGGTGCCACTGACTTCAGAACTTCGTGAGATCCTCTACAGTAATGATGCATTGGAGCTTGCGGATGCAGTTTTGAAGGCACACGAGGCCATTTGATTGTCCATGGGCACGATAAAAAAAAATAATAAATAAAAAAAACCTATAAGGATAACTTATGCCCTTCAATCAAATACTGGATGGATTAATTTTAAAACTTGGTGAGAATAAATAACAATTTGTTTCCAAAGCATTACGCAGCAAACTGTCCATTTTTACATTTGCCCGTCTTCTTTAGTTTATGTTTTAAATAAGTCCTTTTTTGTACAAATTTCAAGTTATATTTTGTGTTTAAAGGTAGGAAAATTAAAAAGTTAAGGTATAATTTAAACGTGCTTTTGTATAATTGACTATATTGTCTTTTACATTAAGTAACAGATTTATTTTTCTGAGATGTTAAAAAATTTTGCTACATGTTTCCAAATATAAAAAAAATTATTAATAACAGTAGGAGTCATGTAAGTTCCATTAAAAATACATAAGTTTGATTATAAGTTAAATTATAAGTTAAGTAATTATAATAAGTTTAATTATAAGTTAAATTGATACATAAGCTACTTGATTATATCAATTTAATTTTAATAAAAGAACTGTAAAGCGATTACAATTTCTACCAGATTATTCTGAAATAATGTGTCTGAAACTCTTATTAAAACTAAGGCACCTAAGAATTCATTTATGTGAGAGTTTCATTTAATCATTTAAAAACAATGTTCTTGTTTTTTTTTTCCCTTTTAAATCGATAAATGATCTGATAGGATAACAAATGTGGCTTAGCAAAAAGATGAAAGTAACTTTTCATGAAGTTATTATTTTATACACGTTATTTTTCAAAAGGTGAAAAGGATTGAAAAAAACTGGAATTATAATTATATCTTACATACGTTAACAAACAATCGCCATAAATTGGAAGGAAAATTTTACTTACCAATTGGCTCATGAGTCTGAAACATACAAAACAATAAAAAATATTGAAAAGGAAAGGGATATACATTTAACAGAAATTGAGGGATAGGTTAAGATATACATTTGAACATACTGTTAACTTACTAAAGAAAGTTATACACCGAAGAGCCATTACATTATGACCACCTTCCATCAATAACAATGGGCTCGCCCAGGTTTTCATGGTTTCTCGCCCAGGAACAATGTTTTCATGGTACACATTAGGACCCATGATCCTCATAGAACAATCCCTGACGTCTGTAAGCTACTTGAACATAGTTGCAGACCAGGTTCGCCCATTCATGGCAGCAGTTTTTCCTGCGGGGGGTGGTGTTTACCCACAGGATAATGCACCATGTCATAAGGGTCGAATCGTCTAGGAACATTCCAGTGATTTTCAAGCCATGTCTTGGCCCCCAAATTCACCTGACCTTAATCCAATACAGCATTTGTGGTCCTACTTGGAAAATCAAATTCGTGCTGCCACGCTACCTCCTCGCAATGTGAGGGAATTGCAGGACCAGTTGGTTAGCGCTTGGTACCAGATACCTCAGACTACCTATCAGCACCTTGTGTAATCAATGCCACGGCGGGTGCTAGCTGTTTTGAGGGCTAAAGGTTGTCCTACATGTTATTAGCAGGGTGGTCATAATGTAATGGCTCTTCAATGTACATTGCATGAAAAAATTATGTACCCAGTGAAAACCAACTTTTCCGATTCATTTCAAAACAATAGCGAAGACAATTTTGTAATAAGTAGTAGAATTACAAAAACGAAATTGTAGATTTATTTTTACTTATTCAAAAAAAAATGGAGGTCAAAGATATATTTTTCTTTGATAAAATTCCTAAGAACTGATTTTAAGAAAATTTAGTAGTGGATTTGTAATTGCTTTAAAGGAACTTAAAAGTGGAACAATTTGGTAAATAAATTTTTACCACATTTTGATTTTCCTTATTCAAGATCTCATATTATTGTTCAATCTAGATCTCATTTTGTATCATGATATTTGTCTTTACCATCAACTTTTCTGGCAAGAGTTTCTCCCATTTCTTCCCGATAATTTTGAGAATCTCCGTCGTTTTAAAATTATTCTTTCATCATATTTGCTTTATAGGCATGCAATAGTGGCATGCTGACAATGGGACGGTATTTCCAGAATTTAAACCTGGGTCACATGCATCAGAACCGAAATCTCCATCCCATCGCAGAATTATATCCCATCCTTAAGTAATTTGAATTTGTTTCATTTTATTGCCTGCAATGAACAGCCGATTCACACTGCAGAAGTGCGCATATTTCACTCTGCACCCTTTTAATCAACCTAAGAGGTGTTCTGATGACCTTGGGATGAATGAAACTTCCATTAGCACTAGGTTGCCAGAGAAATGAAATCACAGCTAAATTACAGAGCGTCAGAGAAATGAAACCTAAATTGAATAATATTAAATTTTTGGTAAAATGAGTCTAGTAGTGATCTATGGATTTAAGACGGTGAATGTGTTTGTTACTCCAAAATGTGTAATTGTTAAATGTCAAATAAAATTTTATTTGTCCGTTGTTGATTTTATCTGATGTTTAGATGATTATTCAGTTGTTATGTTTTATTCGGTAAAAAAGGACAAACCACTCGTTACGGTATGCTACAGTATAGAAACTCCAATAAAAAATAAAAGCAATCTCACTATTTTGAAAGACTTTTTGAATAACAATTTACTAGTATGTGCGTTGCACAGAGAAGAAAATTCCGAAATTCCTCATGTTGATAATATGACTGTAATCCATCATCAGTTATTTGAATAATTCATTTTATCCCTGACATTATAATTTTCACCCGAACTCAGAAGACAAAATATTTCAAAATAGAATATGAATATGAATATGCCGTGAGTGACAACATGAATAAAAGATAAATGAATGTATTGTTTTTATCAAGAGGAACACAACAGTCCCTACTGCACTATGGGTCAAAAATTATAGGTCAAATAAGATTTTAGAACTTTTCCTTATTACCTTTATTTTCTTGATCATACTATTTCTTTTTATTCCATATCTTAGCAATGAAAGGAATCTTGATTAGATGCGGAGGTGAAAAAGATTTATGAGAAACAAGGATTGAAAATGGAAGTTTATTACGAAAGTTTTTTATTTTTTAAGAAACAATCATTTTATGAAATATTTTTCAAGTTTAAGTTTAGTATTAAATATCTTCTAAAAATCGGATTTCCATTTTTTATAATAGTGTTAAAAAAAAGCTTTAAAATGCGAAAAAAAATTGCCTGAAACTTACAATCTCATGACGAAGCTTCCAAAACCATCTTTGAAACCTGTTGGGACTATTGTCTTTTCCAGTACCATAAGCCTTAAAAGCTTCCTTGAACTGATCAACTTTACCATTTAATGACACATCGAGATCACTGATAGCTGTATGAAATGCTGTTTGTGCCGCTCTCAGACTACCATATAATTCATTCACCTGAATATACAAGTAAAAACTAAAAACATGAGTAACAATGCATAAGATTGCAAAAAATACTGGCAAAAAATATTTCATAAATACAAATTTTCTAAATAAATAGTAAACATAAGTTTTTTGTCATTAATATTTCATTGAAAAAAAATTTAAAAAGCTTAGAAAATGTTTTGAATGTAGTATGTACAAGATTTTCATATATATTATATTTAATTTGCAGCCATTTTTATAACAGTAAGTACATCTTTTACAAAAATATATTGACCCTACTTATTGTAAGTATTTTGATATACAATTCCTCTTACACTCTTTGTAAAGTTCAAACTAGTGCAACTACAAGACTTTGTACTATTTGACTCAAAACACAATTTCGTCGAAAATAAAGTATAAATTAGTAATCCATCTTGTATCATTTAAGATCTCTAATATACATGAGTGACAAAGAAAGTCCGAAATAGGTTATTTCAAATGTCATCGAAAATTTTACAGCTAATTTCAAATCCTATATTCGGAATCCAATTGGAATTCTATGTTTAGAATCCGATGATAATCCCCAAAATCTTCACCATAAAAGGTAGGGCCATATTTTGTTCTAGAGCCGCAAAAATCCATTCAAGTTAAATGCTAAATTTTTTTTAAATATTTAAACTTACTAATTGCAACAACTGTTGTTTTTGTTAATTTAGTAGCTTAGCTTTAGTTTCAATTGCATATTCATAAGTTCTTAATAGTAAACATTAGTATGCATCATTTAATCCTTTAAAACTTCAGAATATTTTACAGCAAAATTTGGAAGAACAGCAAATTGGTTTTTATTTGGTCGTAGGCCGTAAGGACACCGGGCACTACAACAATATAAAGTTAAAATAAAAAAAAAAACGATTAAAAATGAGTTTTGAAACCTAGATAAAAGGAACAAATATTAAAAGATTATTCTTCTATTTTTTGAATTAAATGAAAGAAGCATTGTTGGATCCTACAAAATTTAAGAACTGTCGTCTATCAAAGAAAAACTACATATTTGAAGTCAAGCCTCTTAGAAAACGGTTTTTAATTGCATAGTTAAATATATGCTTAGGAGAACATTTAAATCAAATACAATAAAATATCCTAATAGTTAAAAATATATGCACTTACGTTATGCAAACTTTTAAACTTGATAAGGACAAGAAATTTATTTTAAATGAAAGGAAGTTAAGAAGCAAGAAGATATTTTAAAGAACATTTTACTAAACAACGACAAATATTTTAAAGCGAAGCATTTAATTTTTTATATATAATCTGTTGCCTCCTTTTTTATATGAATGTTACACTTTTCTGCACTGTGATAAAATTAAACTTATGCGAACTTTATATTCAGTCCCGTTCAAATGCTAAATCTAGATATTTACATTGAACGGTAAACATTAAAGGATCTTGTACTGATTTTGTCAAAGTCTTTCAGGTAGGTGTGCGTCGATTGCGTCGCATATTGTAGCGGCTCAATGTGATGTTAGAGTGATTTTCAGGCTACTGATTCTTCATCTGAGTGCATCTGGTTTGCACTTGTTGCCAATCAAATCTCAAAATGAACGAAAATGGAAGTTGGGAGCGAATTCCAACCTTGGTCATTAGATGATCAAGTTTAAATAGGCCTTTCAGGTTATATCATTAAATTTAGTAAAACTAGTTCTCAGGCATTAGGTTTTAACTCTAATAAGAACATACATATTTTTTTCTGTTTATTTACAAATATTTTTCAGATGTGTTTTGGATGTTCCTTCTTTAAAAAAAAAAGAGATACCATCTTGTTTTCGATTGTATAAGAAAGGATATAAAACATTTTTCTTATTTAAATTTAATAAGCCACATTAAAGAAGGAACGTTACAATGCTACACGCTACATTAAAGACGTCTCCAGAGTAACTGAATGACGGTTCATATAAAAATCGCAGGTATGCTTCTCATATAACAACGCCCCCTATAGTTCGTTGCGATCGCGAATAAGATATTTATTATCCCCCAAGAATGTGCAAAAAGTCATTTTTATCCTCTACAAACTTTTTGGTTAATTAAAAATTATAGAAAAAAAAATTATAATAAAATTAATTTTATTTTCCTTCACTACACTTGGTTTACTTCATCGTCGTGTATTTTATTATTTTAAAGAAACACGAAGTGGAAATATCTAAAACATAGATTTCAAATGTTATTTTATTTAAAATGATACTTGTATACCATATCTATGATTGTATCAGATTTATCATACATTTATTTCGAAGTTATATGTTACAACTGGCACAAATACCAGTTTGTATTAAAAAAAACATAGAATGCATACCAAAGCTATTTTCATTGTTTATTGTTCTCAGGAAAAGAGATAGACATTTAAAACGGGAAGTGTCATTTTATTCTTTTGACTTTTTTAACTGATCAGGTGGTCTTTTTATTAGTCCAAAATCCATATGACAAACGAAGTTTTGAGTTTTGACTCGTTGTTTTAGGTGTAATTCTTCTTGATAATAGAGCCATTAGTAATTTGGATCAGTTTTTCCCAGCTCTTACGCTTGAGTACGCCCTCTAGTGGAGCCTGAAAATATCAGGCATTTATTTATTAAGTTGTTCTATCATAATTATTGGCAGAGTCTGACACCATTTTCTTAGTAGCAAATAAGACGCAAAATTTCCCTAAGGAAAAGGCAGAAGAGCTTGACAAAATAACCGGAACATTGGTAAATCTTTTTGAAGCAGAACACGCCAAACATTTGAAAAACAATTTCTCAATAATTTTTACCTTTCTATTATTAACAAGCTTGCAACCGATAACATCCGATTTCGTGATTGCCTACTGTTACAGATGTGTGTATTACGGTAAAATAATTTTTTTTTTTTGTCTTCAATCCATTACAAATTAAAGTGAAGTCAACATCGCTTAATTTATTCCAGTGAATAAATGTGCAGAACTGTAATAGTTATAAAATAGTATATATTTCTGAATCTTTATAATTCGGAAAACAACAGTAAAGAATTATCCGAATTACTTGAAATAATATCATTTATGTTGATTATTAATAAATTTATATCGTTTTCTTGGTAAGTATCTTTTAATTTTGAATGATAAATTTCAACTAGAATTCAGGTATTCTGTTTTTAAGTTACATATTGAAATTCATATCGAGATCTTGCAATTATACAATTTTATTGTGTAGTTTGTCATCTTAAAGTAATGAAGTGACAATTTATGTATATATTATTTGAAAATAAAGTTTTCAAACAAAGAACATATCATTTTAGAATTCTCCGGATATATAAATCAGGTAAGTGTTATGATTTTTATAATGAAAAATTTTACTTGTAAATATTTTTTTTTTCTCATTTGATCATAATTTTCTATCGAATGGTTTTCTACGTCCGATTATAAATAAAAAAAAGCATGAAAGTTTTTTATTTTAATTTGAAGAATTTTTAGAATCGGTTTTTTTTTCGCAAGCATTCTATATTTTATGTATTTTAGTATCCAAATAATAATTTTTATTGAAACTTAAAATTTTTTGATAAAAATTGTTGTTAAAAAACTCTTTTTGCAAAATTAAATTACATAAAATTCTGAGCTTATGTATACTTTTTGCCTACTTTAATGTTTGAAGTAATATGATTCTTAAAACTACGGAATGTAAAGTTTAAATAGGCCTTTCATGTTACATCAATTAATTTAGTAAAACGATTTTTAACTCTAATAAGAAGATACGTATTTTTTTCCTGTTGATTTACTAATATTTTTCGGATATTTTTATATATTTTTTCGGATATTATTAATATTTTTTAGATGCTCCATCTCTGAAAAGAAGAGATACCATTTTGTTTTCGCTTGCATAAGAAAGAATATCAAACATTTTTCTTTTAAGCCACAATAAAGAAGAAACGTTACAATGCTACACGCTACATTAAAGACGTCTCGAGAGCAACTGAATGATTGTTCATATGGAAATCGCACGAATTCGTCTCATACAACAACGCCCCCTATAGTTCGTTGCGATCGCAAATATTTAAGGTAATTGTGTAATCGTGAACGTTAGCGATTTCAAATCAATAAATCTTAAGAGTCAAGACCCCGGTAACTCTAGCACGGAACTCTAGAATTCCGCAAAACGCCTTTCTGGTTGCTGGTCTAGATGAATATCTTGATTGCATGAAAACTCATCTGCATTTCATAAATTGTTCGAAATTAATGTGGAGTTTTTTGGTCATCTATATATTCATGTTGATTTGATATCTATAGGGTAAACTGAGGACCATAAATGAAAATAAATAGATCCCCATTCCCTTCTATTGGGCAAAAGCATAACTCTCACAAATTCCCATGCTTTTTGATTTGAAAATGATAACCTTATAGCGGAAATGAAACTCTTTTATACTTAGAGTTGAAATAATTATTAAAATGAATATAAGGAAGATGGACAGCCTTCAAGTCTCAAAATCATAATTTAAAAGTTTGGAAAATTTTTCGGTAAATTTTAAATTTCCAACAAAAGTAAA